AAGTGGGGGGGAGACTCTGCCGTTGGGACTGTGACAGGAAGATTGCTGACTCTAGCTGCTAAAGCTGGACATTTGCATACTCTGGCCAACAATTCACTCTTAGCTACATACCCCAAGGAAAAGCAGGCTTAAAAGACCTTAGCAAGGGGGCTGGGGAGATAGCTCAGTGGAATAAGTGCTTGCCTGTCAAGTGCAAGGTCCTGAGTTCGATCCCTGGTACCACCAATAAATGAATAAAAGACCTTAGCAGGGCCAGGGAGATGGCTCAGTAGAACAAGGCCCTGAGTTCAATCCCCAGTTCTGCAAAAAAAAAAGAAAGAAAGAAAGAAAGAAAGAAAGAACCCTAGCAAAACACACAGAATGTCCAGACCCACAACGTTTCAGCAAGCTATACATTTATGGTTCAATCCTTTTCTGTATATATGTCATACTTTGATAAAACCTGACCTGAATTAAGGAGAAAGGAAGAAGGAGGAGAAAGGGAAGAGGTGGGGACTTTGAAAAGACAACAAGAGCTTGTGGTTGGGAAAGAAGACGTAAGGAAATAGGCTAGAGACCGGCCCACCTGGCCCCCAGTGCCCCGCGCGCCCTCTCCCAGCGTCTGCATGGCGTGGAGCATTTGCACTGCTTTGGTCAGAGCAGATGGCAAGCATGAGGTGCCAAGGCTCTTTCTGCCTACCCTTCTTCCTGAGGGATGTCATCCGCCTCACCAGTAACTGCCCACTGTCCCTGGGTGGACGGAGATTTGAGTGCCAGCCTCCGGATAAAGAAGGGGATTAATTGGATCCTCTCCCTGGGAACCTTCTCATGGGCTGGTGAGGGGATGAGCAGGTGGAATGTGTGTGTGTGTGCGAGCGGCAGAGATGGGCTTGATCTTCCTTTACATGTCATTTCTGAGTCGGGCAGAGGCAAGGAGTGTGCCAGCCAGAAAAGGGGTCTCTGAGACTGCAGCTCCCCCAGGGTGAGGTCCTCCTACCTTGCCTGGCTCTGGCCTGCTGGATTAGAGGTGGCAGGTTACAGCAAAGATTGTCACAGGCTGAGAGGCAGAGTGGAGGACAGTCATGCTGCCTGCACACGACGCCAAGCCCTTCAGGGGTTCCAGAGTAGCTGCTCCAGCCTGCTCATTTACTTCTATCTAGGACAAATGTTGCTGATGGTGCTCTCTACTCTTTCCACAGAACAGCAGTGTCTGAGCCTGTCACGGTCAGGAGCAGACCCAGTTGCACAAGGAGGCAGGAAGCTTGGGCTCTGGTTTTTTTTACTGCCTTTGTGACCTTAAACACATTATAGTACCACTTCTGCCACACTGTTCCCTCTCTGTGAAATAAGGCCTCAGAGTCCTAGGGGCTGTGTGATACGGTGGCCTCTAGCTGTGTGGCACATAGCTATTTAAATAGATTAAAATGGATCTTTTGCAGATGGGAAAGAGGACAAGAGACAGAGGGAGGAGGCTGGGAGTGGTGGTGCATGGGGAGGCTGAGGCAGGAGGATCTTTGCTTGTTCCAGACCAGCCTGGGCTACAGAGTGGGTTAGTTCAAGGCCAGCCTGAACTGCATAGTGAGACTCTGTCTCAAAAAAAAAAAAAAAAATTGTAGTACAGTGACATGTGACATCATAAAAATATTTTCCCAGTATAGGAATAGCACCAAGAAGGGTCATGGGAGCTTCAAGAAGGGAGGGACATCATGGAGCAATGCCAGGCTGACAAGAGGGACAGACTGCCTATGAAAAGCCTGGGAGACAGGAGGCGGTTTGCTATGCCAGCGGATGGCCAGCAGGTGCTTTGTGTACATGGTGTGCAGCGTCACTGTTCTGAGTGATGAGCCACAACAGAATACTGGAGACTATTCTCAGGCCTTTCTTTGGTGACCTACTCATTGACTGGGGAGGTGGATTTGTGGGAGCACTTGATCCACACTTCTTATTTTTTGGGTCCTCAGATCTAGGAAAGCGGCAGTTCTTCCTCAGTCCACGCATCTTGGGATTTTCTCTCCTTTAACTAAAGTCCAATGTTAATATTAGCTTGCTCTGTGGCCAAACTGTAATAGCTTAAAATACAACTTTTCAGTTAGCTCACATTAGCGATTTAGGTGGGGCTCAGTGGACATCCCTGGTTTGGGCTCAGCTTCCTGTTTTATCCGAAGTCAGCTGTGAGATGACTAGTGTCCTGACAAATTCTCTCTCCTGAACTAGTTAGGCTGGGACAACAGGGCTTTCCTCCTTATTATTTTAAGTGCATCAGCAGACTCTCCTGGGTTGTCCTCATGGTGGAAGAAGGGGTCTAGAGGGAGAACAGAAGGATTCAGAACTTGCTTACATTTTATTGGCCAAGGCAAATTATAAGGCCAAGAGCCAGGGAGAGGGCTGGAGAGATGGCTCAGTGGTCTAAAGCACCTACTTAGAACAAG